GTCGTAAAGCGTCCACATTACATCTGTGCCTAACTCATAAGTCGTTGTGGTCCCATCAGGTGGGTACGCGACGCTACATGGCACCTGAGGTGTTGGAAGGAGCCATCAACTTCCAGCGAGACTCCTTCCTGAGGATCGACATGTACGCCATGGGTCTGGTGCTTTGGGAACTGGTGTCCCGTTGCAACGAAACGGATGGTGGGTCCACCTGGAAGGCAGCTTGTGTTTGTCGCAGTTGCTGAACAAGAAACGGGAGCCGATTTTTCTGCCGTAATGTCCTTCCCAGGTACGGTGGGTGAATACCTTCTGCCGTTTGAGGACGAAATAGGGCAGCATCCAAGCCTGGAGGATCTGCAGGATGTGGTTGTGCACAAGAAAATGCGGCCAGTCATCAAAGACTGTTGGCTCAAACATCCGGTGAGTAATTTTTTTGCATGAGGGACATGAGCATCGTCTCACGACCAAGTCAGAGTCTTTGACAAGAACATGTACTATGCTAAAAAGGTCGCGTTCTTAACATGTGCGACCCGCCCTCCCGTCACAGGGTCTGAGCCAACTGAGCGAGACCATCGAGGAATGTTGGGACCACGACGCCGAGGCCCGCCTGTCGGCCGGCTGCGTGGAGGAGCGCATCGGCCAGATCGCCAGGACCACCGGCAGCACTACCTCAGACGGTCCCGTCTCCATCGTCACGTCGCTCACCAACGAGGACCTACCTCCCAAAGAGTCCAGTACCTGAACACGGGCAGTGCTCCTGACTTTTTTTTTTTTTTAATTTGATTTTTCAAACACAAACTCAGTGGATCTCGGTGAATATTTAATAACATGCAGCTGCTATTTTATCCCCATACTGGTATTTTTTTTCCTGGGGCATCGGATCTTATTAACACATTCATCTGCTGTAGTTTGGATGTAGTATATAAGCTATGCGACAGGCAACACTAAAAGTCGTTATTACCTCATGTATTTTTTTTTCTTTTTGTTAATTACCTCATTTTTTTTTAAAAAAAGATGATTTTTTTTTTTTTGAACTTTTCTCCCCTTCCCCGTCAAGTGAACTTTTAAGCTCCAAAACCTCTGGAGGATTTTGAGACTGTTAGAACGAGATAGATTCATCTTCCTCAGGGGTCAATGCTTCTCTGATTTTTAAAACAAACGTGTGCTCCCCTACTTTTTAAACCTGTGAATGCCTCCCTCCCACCGGAAAAGGAAAAAGTTGAGGAAAAAAAAAACATACAGTATATATAAATATAGATATAATGGAGCACAGTGGGTTTTATCAAGCTGAAATGGGTGCTGGACTTGTTGGAGATTTTAGGGACACCTTGTGGTCCCGCGGGGAACTACCTCTCAGGTATCCAGTAGGCTTCTTTTTGTGTGTGTGTGTGTGTGTGTGTGTG